ACGAAGCGTCGAGCACGTCCATAGTGTGCGCAACGCAGTGGGAAAAAGGATAAAATGGGCAATCTGATCAAACGATTTCAAAGGATGCCACTGGATATCCTAAGAGTATCTAGAACAGGACTCATAAACTGACCTCAAACGTTCAGGCAGATAGCCCGGTCAGTTTACGGAAACGGAAACGAGAGAGGGTGCCATGACTTGTAGTATCTCACTTCCAAAAATCCTAGGTACATATGTAAATGTTTTCGACAAATTTATACATTTGTATTTCAGTTCCAACTATTGTACAAGTAAAATCGAACGCTGTGTTCCCTACCTAATTAATCTCGATTAATCTCTAATCCGAAAACGATCTACGCTCATTAGCTAATTACATTATTGCGAAGAGAGCAGCAGCGTGGCCGGCGACGGGAAGATCCTCCTCTTGCTGCGCTCGGAGATGGTCTCCAGCCCCGGCGACCACGGCCGGCCCTTGGCGCCCACGAGCTGCGCGTAGTGCCGCTTCAGCTCCGGCGTGCTGCACAGCTCCGTCGCGGACGCAGCCACCTTGCCCGACCCGCGCCGGCCGGCAGCGTCGCCGTTGCCGTTGCCGCCGTCGCAGGTGATGACCTTCTCGATGAACTGCGGCAGGACCCGGATGAGCGCCGCGGCACCGTCCTCGCCGCCCTTGACGTACTCGAACGGGCACTGGCCGGGCCCGGCGAGCTGCACCGTCTTCCTGCCCCCCGGCGCGGCCGACAGCGACGCGAGCGTGGCCGCGGTGAGCACGGCCGCCTTGCCGTTGCCGCCGGGGGAGGGGGAGGAGAGGAGGCGGCGGGGGAGCACGAAGTAGGTCCGGCCCGGCAGCAGCCGCTCCCCCGGCGACGCGACGGGGACCGGGAGGCCGACGAAGAAGGAGTCGGCCGGGCAGACCACGTGGTCCGCCGGGAGCAGCTCGGCCGTCACGTCCGCCGCCGTGCAGGAGACACCGCCGTTGCCCTCGCCATCACCCTCCTCGTCCTCGTAGACTGGCAGCGCCCTCGTCCGCCCGCCCCAGTACACCAGCCGGGCCGCGGCGGGCACCTCGGCGGCCGCCGGCATGTTCACGCAGGGAGACAGCCCGTTGCCCATGGCGAGAGGAGAGAAGTGTATGGCGCCTGCCTTCGAGAAGCTTCTAGACGGTGGAGGAAGAGACGGGTGAGATTGAGACGAGATGAGCTGGGTGGGCAGTGAGCACGAGAACTACGGCGTGTGGATCTGAGGGGGAGGCGTATATGTATTCCATTCCCTCCGGGCTCTCGCCATGGTTGGACTAGGACGGGGGTTTGACCTCGGAAGTTGGACGGTTCAACGGGAGCCGCTGCCGCTGAGCTGGGCCGGTCCTCGATCGGCCTTCCGTGCACACGTGCTTGTTTATTCATTTTCGGTTTTGTATTACGGCCGGTCGGGTGGCCGTGGCTGGGTCAACGGTCAAAGTAGACGGCCGAGGAGACGGGAGTGGTTCCAGGCGATGACGTGGCGGGTCGCTATTGGGCTAGGGGGTGGGGGCAGTGGGAGGTGAGAAGTGCGAATCGTTCTCCCTCGTGGCCAGCTCGAGGGGGCGGTGTTGCGCGTGCGTGCGGAACGTTGGTGTTGGTGTGGCTGGGTTGGACCGGGACCTGGATCCACCCACATCGATCGACCTGGCAAATTTTGCGCTCTGCTTTTGCCGGCTACTGCTCCAGTCTACGGCACCGACGCCGACATGTGATCTGTAGTAGCATATCCTGCGCGTGCGTGCGTGCATGTGGCAGAGATATGGTGCCCACGCCGCGCCAGGGTGGCTCGAGGCGCCACGTCGACCCACGCTCCTCCTCGCCATTTTATTTATTTATTTTGAAACGCGGCACTCGGCTAGAGCAGTCACAAGCTAGAGCAAAATGAGGAGCCACAACTGTTTCACATGCATGCCCGCTCGACCTAATCCTGTTGCCGGCAGTTCTCTCTGGACCAGCGCATCGTCAGCACGGGTAAAACTATGGGCTTGCGTGAGTTCAGCCTCCTTCCTTCTTGGTTTTGGCCACCTACAAAGTAGTAATACTCCTACTACGGACTAGCTTTTCTTCTTCCTTTTTCGAGAGGATAATGAGCACAAGTCATACTATTTGTTCTTAACATGACGTGACCAAACTGCTCCTTGGCACGTCCAGCCGGCCAAGTAGCATGTTTGGTGATTTTCTGCGGTGCAACTTGGCATAGTTCTCCTTCTTAGGCCAACTCCACCGCACGACCCATCTTGTTCGGCCCCGTTCGTTTGGAGTAAAACGGATAAATTGGGCGGCCCAGCGCGCGGGAGCAAATGGATTTTTGTCCGTTTTATGTCCGCTTTCGACCCATCCGCGGTCCAAGTTTGCATTGCTTTTGGGGTGAAACAGACAGCGCGCGGACGGGCGGGACGCGCGCGCTTATCCGCCCCTGGCCCGCCTGTCGGTGCGACAAAGCAAACCACCCACCCACCCACCCCCCCTCCCCCCGCACAAACCCTCCCACATCCATGCCCAACGCCCAGCCAAACTTCGGCGGGCTGG